TCTCTCTCTCTCTCTCTCTCTCTCTCTCTCTCTCTCTCTCTTTCTCTCGTTCTCTCTCCCTCTCTTTATCTATCTCTCTCTGTTCTCTCTCTCTGCCTCTCTCTCTCTCTGTCTCTCTCTACCTGTCTTGTGTATGTCTGTCTCTAGTCTTTATTTCTGTCTGTCTGCTGCCTCTCTGTCTGTCTGTCTTGTCTGTCCCTCGTGCCTGATACGCACCCGCCGAAGAACTTGCGAGCAGTGTTGGTTTTCGCCACTTTGTAGTACATGGGTAACCATATACATTCCGTATCAAAGGTTGCGGCAACAGCAACGTCCCCCCCCCTCCCCATCGTTGTCGTGTCTTGACAGCTACTTCACCTGCAGCTTTGGTCTGCACTTGATCGTCACCTACTGGGAGAAGGACCTCATTCTCGCCACCAAAAGAAGCGTGAGTTTCATCGCCAAGAGTTTCCGTAGGCGAGACATCACACGCCCCGGATCAATTTTGATTACTCCGCAGCGGAAGGAGTGACAAGTGCCGTGAAGTGGCGGCGTTGAGACCGTCTCGTCCAGAGCTTTCCGAAAGCGTGTCGTTTGACTGATGTATCCTCTTCGTCGTAGCTAAGTCGAGCTTTGAAAATCGGTCCCGCCGGGGGGTGTAATAGCTTATGTCACGTTCGGCGTTCGAGGATAACAAGCTTTGCTTCGTTTCGTAGTAGGTGTTCCGGGCGAGGGTTACTTGTATTCGAAATGATGGTATCCTCGTGACGCGAGTGACGAAGAGGAGGGCAGGCAGATTGGAGTTAGTTTCCGTTGGAACCCGGCCGTAGCCCTGCGAGAGTAGATGGAATGGGCAACGAAAGCTGTGTCCCATGAGCTCTGAGGCTTGGTTGATTCAGGTTGTTGATGAACAAGTGACCCGTGAATATGAACTCCTGGTGTTTGACGGAAAGGAGATTAAGGTCGTTTGCTTTGGCCTTCGTAGTTTTGATTGGTCTGATCGTGTGCAACGGGTATGCATGTATGCATACGATGGCGCTCGTTTGATTTCCCCTTGCCCGGCCATTGGTCGAGGTGAAACGCTTGGCATCAGCTCGAAGGGTTGGAACTTCTAGCTTGGTCCATCCGACACTCCCAACACGACAAGGAACTCGGGACATCTCAAAACGTTTTGTGTTGGCTTTGTTCTTGTGTTTCTGACTTCCCCCGCACGCTCTCGCTCCTCTTTGGCGTGTGTCCGTTGTTGTACTTGCATGAAAAACGGCGACAGTCAAGCCGATCTTTGGGGAAGGGGATCTTTGTGCGGACAGACTTCCCTCGGTTCGACGAGATTTACACCGTGTCCGTGGAGGAGAGGAAGCCGGGATCCAAGCCAATCGAAGGTCTGACCTCCATGCTGGTCTTGTTGTTGTTACTGTTGTTGCTGTTGTTGGTGATGGTGTGAGTTGTTGTTGCTGTTGTTGTTGGTGCAGTTGTTGGTGTTGATGTTGTTGGTGATGATGGTATTATTGTTTTTGGCTGCTGCTGTTGTTTTTATTGTTGTTGATGTTGTTGTTGTTGATGCTGTTGCTGTTGCTGTTGCTGTTGCTGTTGCTGTTGCTGTTGCTGTTGCTGTTGCTGTTGTTGCTGTTTTCGCCCTTGTCGTAAGTGGTGTTGGTGTTGGTGCTGGTGCTGTTTCTGCGGTTGCTTCAAGGTTGGCTCTTGTCTTGACTTTGGTTTGATGTCATACTCTTGTGGTGCTGGTGCTGGTGCTGGTGGAATTCGTTGTTTTGTACACGGTAGCTCTTGGCTTGCTTGGACGCTTTCCCCCAAGGGGCGTGATCCCGATAGGATCGAACGTGCTCACATACACTTTCATGTTGTCTTGGCAGCACATTTTTTTTCGTGGCTGCTGGGAAGAACCCCCCGTCCCGTCCCGTCCCCCCCCCCTCGGTGTTTGCCATCGGGGTTGGGTTTTCGTCGCTTGGCAACGACGTTGTAAAACAAGCCCCCCCCCCCGGTGTTTGCCATCGAGATTTGGTTTTCGTCGCTTGGCAAGACATTGTAAAACAAGCCAATTCACGTCGTGAGCTCGGCAACCAGGTTACCGTTTTTTTTTTTTGGCGATAACCATGCTGGTGGTCGAGTAGATCATGTTGTGCGGGGTCGAGAACCCTCACTCCGCGCAAGGGGGATGATCGCACCACGGTGTCTTAGAATGGTCAAGCACCCTCGAGGCAGTTACATCGTGCTTACAACTGTCTCTGGAAGTGAAAGCACCAGAAAATAAATTAATTCATACGCAGCTGTCATCCGTACGCAAGGAAGTAAGCACAAGATGCCGAACACCCTTAGCAGGATGCAGCGCACCCTTCATGCGACTCGCCGAATATCTCACGGCGCTTCGCGCTTGGTGATGTGAGAGCCTGGTCCGGTGAGAACCCGGCGTGCTCCGTCCCGGCTTTGTAGGGATGCGAGGTCAATGGTCTAACGACTACGGCATGCACGACTATGAGTACCCCCCCCCCCCCGCCCCCGTCCTATCGTTTGTAAAATCACGGACGCTGGACACGTGCATGATTTCTTCTTACGTCGCAAAGAAAATGGTTTGACTGCAGCGGGGAATCATCATTGTTCACATGTCCTATTCTTCTCGGGTTGTTGTGAAGAGCATTAGCGTCTCACTCTCACATAACCTTATCCCCTGTGTTTCCCCTGCTGCTTTCCCCCAGAGCAATGGCACGTGGGGAAATACTTCGATTACGAGGGTAACTTTGACGAGTGGGGGATGGGGGACGCGGTGAAGAATCTGGTGACCAGGCTGGAGAAGCGCGCAAGAGACAAGAAGAAGAAGGCGAAGAAAGAAAAGTGAGTGAGCGATGACACAGCGAGGGAAGTGATTCGTGTACAGAGACGGCGTAATTTTTGCTCGGAATGTAGGGTCCGAGAGCGGTCAATTGTCTTTTTTTGATGAAGCGTGAGGAGAATGTGTAGAGAGAGGTGACGGAAATTTTCTCGGGGCGTGAGTCCGAGGGCTTGTGACTTGTCTATTTTCGATGAACAAGGCGTGGATGAATAGACGGAGGGGGTTATTATGATGAAGACGCATGCCGTGGTCGTTATACCATTGACCTCGCATCCCTACAAAGCCGGGACGGAGCACGCCGGGTTCTCACCGGACCAGGCTCTCACATCACCAAGCGCGAAGCGC